ACGACGCTCGGCCGAATTAATTTAATTTTTTAATAAGATATTAATTTGTTTTGATTTAATTTTTTGAAGTTAAAGTTATTCTTTTGCCAAGAAAATTTAAAATTAAAAAAATCATTACTTTGTCTCTAACTGACTTTTATTGTACTTTATGAGAACAACGCGGTAGACAGAGAAAGAAAGTATATTTAATCACATTTAGCGTTAATCGAGGTTGTAGGCTACAATCAGTCGCATGGACAGTTTCGGTTTACTTATACTACTTAACGATTTTTCCCCTTTGCTCTGTACCCGCTGCGATGCAGATTCTTCCGTGATTGCACGGCAAGTTTGATCAGCTATTAAAGGACGATTCGCAGAATCATAACAGCTTTCTTGCTACACGAATTTGCTTACATAAGATATAACGTTCGTATATCTATTGAGACTTTCAGATCAGAAAGGATTAAGTCACTGTTATATTCAGTTATAAGATCATTCACTTGTAAAATGGACCCGATGTTTACATAGTTGTTTTGTAATTATTATGATTAGATAATATAAAAAATGATTTTCTTCATCAATATTTTTAAAAATTATCTCGGCCAATCGACGATGGCTCGTAAATAGTATTACATAATTATTTACAATTATAAATATATTATTACTATAATAATAATATAATATATATAATATAATATATAATGATATCATATATCCTAACTTTATGATTATTGCTTATTTAATATTAAAACAATGTGATATAATGTGGAAAAAAATTCTGTAAGACTGCCTAATTAATTGAATACATTCAGCACGTCTACCTCTGTTAACAAAAATATTATTTTCGCAGTCTCTTAGTCTTATTCTTCGCTGCATAGTGTTAAGTGTATAATAATACTCGACGGTAACAAAGGCGATATAAAGTACAGACGGAGTCACATTTATCAGACTTAATTCGCGAGCACGCGAACCGCTCATATAACATAAGCAGAATTCGTGTTACAATTACCGTTGAATCGATGATGGATCAGCGTTCTTCTAGTTCTATTCCATCGGGATATCGCAAGCTACTTTTCCGAGCTCCCGGAGCGAGCTTTTTACTGCGAAATTTATGCATAAGATTTCCCCCATGACACACTATTTTATGTATTAAAATTTGCACGCTGGAGCTTTCTTCCACTCACCTCGACGAAATAGCATCGCATGAATAATTGTGAATTTCATTCTACTTTTATCGAATTTTTGAAATCAATTTCGTAAGGCCCAAGGATCCCTTGTGCCCTGACCGTAAACATTTTTGTAATCTCTCAAAAAATCAATGAAACCATCTCGTAATTATACATAACATCATACATGCACGTATTTATACAATTGCAAAACGTTTTTGTATTAAATTCGTTCAGATTATTACGTGTATTTTTAGAATAATTTTTTCTATTTTTAAAAATATATGTAGCTTGCATAATTTTTCAATCTATGGCACAGTGCCATAGATTGACGTGCTTGTTTTAATAACGGTTCTTTTTGCCAGGTCATGAACAAAAATATAGTACCTTATTTAAAGTAATATATACGACCTCAATATTTTGCAAACAATAAGATATTTATCAATTTCAATTATTGTTTATTATAACAGAATATTTGTTAACAATATTTATTTTATTTATTTTTAGATAGCTACTCCCATAATAGTTGCTGTCGAACATTCATCTTGCCAGGAAGTTAAAAATTATTTGAGCTTAAATAAGGAGATTATTAAGCCGAGCATGAAAATCGATTTTCTTGGAAATTGATTCTTATACGAAAGAACTTTTCTGCAGCATTTCTTTCTTTGTACAAAATCTTCACTTTTCCAATCGGACTTCACGATTACTAACGAAAAATTTATTAACTCCCGAAAATGAACGACGTTTCGCACTTTATGCGTATTTCTTTCTGCGATGATATCATTTAAAGGCCGCTCCGACCCGGATGTTTTCCTTTAGGCTGATGATTTAATTAGCGATATCTGCCATCGGAGTTAAACGGACGTCGTTAAAGCTTAAAGCATAAATACATCGCTGTAAATCGTTATCGTATTATTGATTCGCAAGGATCGGAAAATATGAGCGTTGAATGCATGTTATGAGCACCTTACTCTGAATAATTGAAATCGTGTAATGTGCTGGATGACACTTGCGCGTATCAACTACAACATTAATTATAGCAGTCAAGAGAGAGCTTATTGATTTTGTAAAATATCCTGAAATTGATGAGAAGAAATTATACTGTTTTCTTCTTATGAAATTTCGACTCTTCTTACATAAGATCGTTTTCTGTCGTAATTCTTCAAACTGTGATATGTGATATTTCAATGTCACGTCGTTTGCATTGTCGCTCGTTCCAAGGGCAGTATCTTTCGTTAATTTATAATACTTGGTTGGAAACGACAGTCCGAGTGTCTCTAGCAAGCGGGCAAAGTCTCTGTTCGCTGGCGCGAAACCGAACGTAGCGATGACTCACCTCGATCTCTCGTCGTGCGATTGGCTTCCTCAGTGATTCACGCACGGTTGCTCGTTCGCCAAAACGTTCGTGACGTGACGTTTCCAGCACGATATGTCGCGCGTGCCGATCTTTCCGATCTTCGAAGAACTTTGAAGAGAGCATCGTGATGCTCGAGCAATCAGTTTCGACGACAGCGAACAGAGAACTCAAACATTAACTCGACTTCAGCTTACAGCTGAAGCTCGATCTTGTATCTCAAAAGAATCAATCAATAAATTTAGATAAAGACGTATTTATAAAATGAATGTCAAATGAATGATTTGAACGAAACCAAAATCTCTTCTGTCTTGAAATTTATAATATGTGAACAGATTTTAGAAATCAATGTTTACGTATAATTTATTCCTATTCCTGTTTCTGCTTTCGAAAAATCTTCTGCCTAAGGTTACGCAATTTTCGAATTAATTTAAAAGATATTTACACAGCGATTTTGGAACTTGGCTCGTTCGTGCTACGATGTTAATCTTCTCGATTACGGCATTTGATAAATTTAAATCCGTTTGATGAACACAGAAAAGGTGTTTACACATGCGTGACGTAATTCATAAAGATGTCTATCCTACGTGATTAATCAGTGTAATCACCGCCTGAAAAATTATAGCAACGTAGTGCAGGTTGTCTTCCGTAATGAAGAGACAGCGAAGAAATAAATATTAGTTTTCCGAATCATCAAATTTTCTTACACTTACCTGAACATCTGTTATCAAACGCATCGTTTAGTAGAAAGAATTAATTTAGAATGCTAAGAATATACGACATAAACTATATTAAATTGGCAACCACAAGTATCGATGATCGTTTTAATGCATTAGCAAATATTTTATACTAAACAAATTTTCTTATAGATTGCAAGATGTTATGAATTAGGAATCGATACATGTATATATTTAAAAAATGTCTTACTCGTAATTTTGTTTTTATTCGTATAATAAAATATAAGTGGCATATATAAAGCGAAGAATAAACAATAGGTAAATTAAGTATACATAAGTGCCAATAGAACGAGCTATTGAGTAAATTAACCACGTATGCTCATATATATTCATTTCTACGTTCGAGAATATCAAGTATTGCCTTGTCAATTCGTTTTGTCCGCGGCTCTCATATACTGTGTTTTACTTCGGATATATCGTTTAATAATTTCGAATATATCATTGCAGCACAATTAATATCA